ATTGCGACGTAGTGATTTGATGGAGGTGCCCGATGTAGCCGAAAAATTCGAATCAATTTTGACCATTCTTGCATCGACCTTGAATATAAAGGTTAGGATCATAATTATGTTTTGGCATACAAAGCTTATGGATTTGTAAATTTAGTCAGTGGTTCGAGAGACGATGAAGATCGTCCAAAAAGGTGGACAGATGAACAAATCATTTAAGAGTGCCGGGCTTCGGAAACAATCCCGAGATAAAAGTCAGCACCATTTATCTGAGTGCATGTCAACCCCAGAGAAAGCGAGAGTATGTAAAGTGAGTACCAAAAGATCATATTCTGCGTCACCATGTCCAGGATCGCCAAATGCTGATCCATTAATTTAGCGAGATGAAAATTAGTTTAGCTTCATATGTTGTATATTGTTATATTTTGCCAATGTATGTATGTGATGAAAATGATAATAAAAATAAATAGAAATCTATCGGAAAAGTAAAAAATTATTGCAACGATCTAAATAAATTCTCGCTCTCGTAAATATTTATCGATGATCTTAGATGTTTTTTTTTGGATCATCCGTATATTGACGCACGATTCTATGGATATCGTCCCTGAAAATAATGTCATTGGGATATCAGAGTTTTTATATACAGTTGAAAGACATTTACCATTTCGGCTAAGTGCAATTTGCTTGGCATCTTCAAGAGTAAGACGAGCATTACCTGCACAATATGGACACCAATTACCACTTTTCACATTTCCCAGAGATGCACGCCATAAATATTTTTTTTGCAACACACAATAATAGCAATTGATTGTTTTTATACTCAATTGAGAGACATTCCCCATGTTTAGAAAATGCGATTTCTTTGATAGTCTCGAGAGTTAGTTTTACAGTACCTGCACAATGTGGGCACCATGATCCAGAATTTTTAATTCTACGAAGTGGAGCACTCTATGTATGATTCTTAGAGCAGATCCATAATAATGGAGTTTTATTATCTTTGTATACAGTTGAAAGACATTTCCCACCGCGGGATTCAGCAATAATACAAGCATCATTTAGTGATAGTTTTGGGGACATTGAGGAGAAATATTTCTAATCTTTGAAATCCTATTCTATTCATTTAATAGTACAAGATGGCACAGATTTTCACGAATAATTTTAGGTGTTTGTGTATATTTTCGTGATACACATATTGTAGAGATATTTTGATGCCTACTTTGCTCTGGAAAGAATTTAGTTATATCTGGAATTTTATTTTTTACCTTTAAACATTTGTTGTAATTTCTTACCTAGCATAAGATCAATAACCATATTTGTTTTTCCATTATTGGATCCTCCACACACCAATAATCTAAAAGGCCAGTCAGGTGAATACTTATTACCCTTCATTCGTTCTGAAGATTTTTTAGATGTTTCATCGATATTACAGTATATACTAATATTATATTAAGTACTGTTATCCATTTTTTACCCTTATAATAATCATAAGTAAGGAATAAGAGATCACACATATATACACAGTTCGGACGTGAAATTTTTCCATAACTAACTCTAGAAATACGCTTTGGTGGTGATGCATATATTTTCCAGGTACTCTAATTTGTAAGCCATTTTTTAATCGTAGAGAGCTTAAATTTATATCCTTTTTTCAAACATACATCTCTTAATGTTTTTGTATTGGAGCAATATCCAGTTGGGCGATAATATACAGTATATCACGCAATATGAGATTTTTTTCAATATCTCGAGCTTCATTAGGATCTATAACAATACTAGGGTTATTCATTTTGGCGAAGTCAGGGATAAGTCAATATAATATGCCGTAAAAAATAATCATGGCATTTAGTCGACCACATCCTAATCGAATATTTCGTGGGTCAGCCTTTGAGCGCGAATCTGAGTTGGAACGAGTTAATCAAGAACTGCAGGAGATATTACAATCAGAGGTAGTCACTAGTGATGAATAAATGGCTCGGTTCTATTCGACTATCTCATTTTAAGTCGCAACAATAAACAGCTCGGTTCCGGCTCTTCAAAATCATTAAGCCGAAATAAATTCGATTAAAATCATAATAAATTAACTTTTTTTTTAGTTAATATTATTATCGTAATAATAAAGTAACAGGTATAAAAATATTGTAAAATTAAATTTCTAGAAAAAAGTAGAATATAAACAAATAAACAACTGGCACATGTATAAATATATATGCCATCAGCTAGCATTTAGTAGTAGAGAATTGTACAGTATTAGTATTCATAGTTTATTAAATAAAGCGTTTATTGTAAACTCTTACCTGTATCATTATATTGTTTGCCGATTGTGTGCATGCTTGTAACTTGTACACGGGACTTGGACAAACTGGAGTTTGACTCGAAGGATTGGGAAGTTCTAGCGACTAAGCAAGGTTCAAGGAAAAAGTCAAAATATGTAAAGTTAGCAAGTGACAGAAGAACCGGTCAAATTGATATACGCCTTAGGAGTTAAAACCTTTATATTTCCAATCCAACCAACATTACGTAAGAACCCACACATTGATGACAGACTCACCGGAATTAACTGTAATATTTGGTGGTGAACTGTGAAATATGAATAAAAAACAACATTCGTTCGTTTACCCCTCCCCTAATAAAATATATTCTATAAGCACACTAATTAATTGGAAACTGTTGATCAAAATAACAAACAAAACCTTAAAATACATTTACCTATTCCAGAGGATACATGACAACCTGGATTATTAATCAACAAAGATGAAGGAACAGAATATCAATATTCTAAAAGAGATGAACAAGGAGAGATTACAACTGGATGATAAATACTTTCCCCCAAGAGATAAACCATTCAATCCTCCTGATAAAAATCCAAAGGAGGCAAATAAAATAGTGAATAAGGTAGGTGAGCTAATGAAGCAAATGTTGGTAAAGAAACAAAATGACATCATGACAAACAAGAAAAAACCACAACCAGATAACGTGGATCCCATCACATACTTACCCCAATAAGCAATGAAACCACCTGACAGAAATATAATTAAAGTAAGAAAAGAGGAGAAAATGTTAATTAATAATGAAATGATGGAACAAATGTGGATTAGAGGTTGGGACATTTTAATGCTGCCTGATCAGGAATTGAGATGCATGAAGACAGCACAATACATTATCAACATCAGTTATAATACCATGATCAGATGAAGCAAATATATAGCTAACCAAGATGCAGAGGAGTTAATCGAAAAGGAATAGCATGCTAAGACTTGTATAGGTTGAAAAGTGATTGGATAAGTTATATTTACTGTAGTATGTTTTTAGAACAATAAATATTTTGATTTCCAATTGATTAAAATAAAATCAAACAATTATTTAACTATTTTTTTGATCTACTATATAATCAATATTATTAAGTTAACTATCTAACTTTTTTTTTTAGATTATAGCTAATTATTATATTAAAAGATTATATTTAATTAATATTTAATATATAAGCTAGAATTGAGTTAAATAAATATTTATATAAAAAACTGAATTAATTATTAACCTTTTGTTTTTATAACATTAAAAATATTAAGCAATATTTTCAAAAATGATTTGAAAGAATGGATTGATTCAGATAATACTGATAATACAATATCTTCAGAATTTTCAGATGATGATATTGATGACAATGAAGGCTGTGCTAATAACATAGATATAAAAGTAGAAAATAATAAATTTGAGAATAAAAGAAATACCAATATTAATTAAGATTATTATGTTATATCACAATCCAAAAAAAAAAGAAATCTTCAAAAGTTTAGACTTATATAAATTCAAAAACAGTACAATGTTATACATGCAATATTAAATTTGCAATTTCTATATTAACATCAACAATTTAAAAGCATTTGAATAGGCATTTGATTTTATCAACAAGTGAAGATCATTCAATGATTAAACAATATCATTTGGCTTTTATTAAAAAAAAAACAGTTTTATAATTAAATGGATAATAATTAATATGCTTTTATTTTTAACAATTAAATCAACCAATTTTTATTTAATGATTAATTCTTTTGATCCATTATATAAAATTCTATATCAACAAACAATTTGTAATACAATATTTTACAATTTGAACAACAATATATAAAATTATCAAATTATTTTGTAAAAATTTCTGAAAGAAATAATATAACTATAGATTTTTAGACATTAATCAAATGCAAAATATTTTTAGAAATAACAATATATTATATTATATTGATAATAACTAAAAATTACATCATTTTACTTTGGATATTAAAATTTTTAAAGGAAATCATACAAGAAAAGCTATTTTGGATTCTATATTGAATCTATCAAGAGAATTTAATCTTCAAGATTATATATTAGTTATTACTACAAATAATACATCAATATAATTTTAGGATATAAATTATTAAATAATTAATTGAATTCAAATAATTCTAATAATAAATTTATATATACTGTATACTAGGTAACAGAAACTGTTAAAACATCCGAAGCATTAAAAGCATACTTATTTTATTTGGTTCTGAACATTAATAAAATTTTAAGATCAAGTTTACAAGTATAATTTCATTTATTTATATATTTATCTTGCAAATTCAAGGGAAAAATAGATTAACTATATTATTATTCAGATTATTACATGTAATAAAAAGACTACAACTCTTGTATTTGTATTGTAATTCTTGCTTCAAATTTTTTTTGATAATTAGAAGAGTAGAATAATAATATTGATGCATTTATGAGACATACAGTTAAAGGCAAATAGCATTTATAAAATACTTAAGTATATTTATTTTAAAATATAATGTATTTTGCCAAAGGTGGCTTTCGAAAAGTTTATTTAACTGAATGATCTAAGGAATATATTTTTTATATGAAATATGTAATTATTATTTTAATATATTTTAGTAAATGCAGATGAAAGTTCGGATCCGCAATATATTATTCCATAAAAAAACTTTTCACATTCATTTTTTTTTGTTCATTAATTTATAACTTCTATTTTACTGATATCAAATAATCGCATTTTGAGGAATCATAGATATTAACCTTCTTTCTTCAGCTATCCGTTTTTGTAATCTCTTACAAGTTTTGATACATTGGAGTCTTTCAAATGAAAATGTTATTAAAAGAGCATTCTGAAGTGTACAAACCCATGAAATTGCCACAAATGAAAGTCCACTAGCATACTCTTTTTTTCCAATATCTATTATTGCCTTTTGCAAAGTTAAACCCTGACTTTTATGTATTGTTATAGATAATGCAAGGCAAATAGGAACTTGCAAACGTAAGCAAGTTCTTTTTTTCCCCTTCCAGTTATATCTAATTGGTGAGACTGGAACAAGTCTTTTACCTTTCACAGTAATAATGGCTGGATTAGAATAGTTGTCAAATTCTATCAGAACGGCAATAGGAAGTGAGGATGGTGACTGATTCTCCTTAAATATAATTTCTTGAACAGTACCTATTGAACCATTAACTAAGCCAACTTCTACCCATAAATTAGTCCTAAGCATGACCTTGCGCTCTTTGCCAGTAATAATTGAGCTTCAAGTCCTTTTGCATCATCAGAATCAGCCTTACATGCTTCTATACTACCTGTATGAATGGCATTGATTCTAATAACAGGACAGTTTAAACATCTAAGCTTATTAATGTTAAATTCAGCAACATCAGACTTTCAGGGCATTATAAATATGGCATTTGAGAATTCTGTAGATGATATAGCTTGTATGTCAACAAATCATGTGGCAAATAACTTCCAATTATCTATTGTAGATTCACCATTGCGCAACTGCAATAATGCAGATCTGAAATTATGCTGATTCTTAGAATCTCCTATTTGACGTTGAATAATGTTAAGCTTATATACTTCCTGAAAAACTCTATATGCTATAATTCCATCATTAGATAGTGAATTTTGTTGAAGAGTCTGTGAATACGTAGGCTTATCAAGAACTGGTGGGAGTTGACCAAAATCACCAACCAAAATGACTGATCAACCACCGAAGGGCTGATTTTGTTCCTCAGGAAAAGCTTGACATAACCTCATATTAACTAAGGCAAGCATACAACGACCCACCATACTTTTTTCATCAATAATTAAGTATTTGATACCATCTAATTTTTTTTGTAAATTTTTTAAACGTTCACCATTTAAATCAAAATTGTGACTGGATATTGAAATGGATAATGCAGAATGAATCATTACACCATTAATGTTGGATGCTGCTACTCCAGTTGGTGCAAGTACAAAAACAGGTGACTGTGCATTGATATTATGGTTTTTTGCAATTTCGTGAAGCCGATATCGGATTGCATTAATCAAATATGATTTTCCTGTTCCTGCAGTTCCCATTATAATAATTCTAAGAGGTTCAATGTGACCAGATTGTGTAATTAAGGTATTATAGTAAGATTCTATTTGCTTGAATATTGTTTTTTGATTATTATTTAATGTTTGCCAATTTACAGTACAATTATTATCATTCTTATTGGTATCACTACCTAATTCACGAGCTTTTTTTATAAAGTTAGGCATATCTGCAAGGTCAAGATTAGGATAATGTTGTCTAATATTACTAGCCCAGTTATAATTGCAATCGATATCACGTAGACCCAATTCTGAAGAATATTCTATATTACTATTCGGTTTCATTTCTGAAAGAATCATCCAATCAGGTCGAACCAATTTTTTGTCTTCTGATTCTTCTAGTTCATTATTCATTTCATAATCATTCAATTCATTATCCAAATTATCTATAGGAGGATTAAGTAAGTCGGGCTCATTTTTAATTTTTTCATAATTCTTATCAAATAGTTCTAATCACGAAATATTATTATTTTCAGTTAATTGATTAAGATCCCGATGGCAAACATGGAGAAGAACTTTTATCCAACAGTATTCTTCCCATTGTGGACCATTACGTTGAGATGAAGGACGAGACCAGAAACATACAATATTTTCACATTTGCAAATTTTCCATTGACCTTTTCAAAGATGATATTTTAAGTAAAACTGAAAGAGTGAAAAATGATCTAGTTCAATTGGTCGATTCCAATATTTTTGTAATGGTGACTGTACAGTTCGTCCAATCTCATCATTTGTTTCTTCTCTCACAACTCCAGTTCCACAAATTCATCGAGGAGTTATTTTATTTAGATTTAATGTTACAAATTGATGACTAGAATGATATAAAGGAATACCAAGAAGTAAATGGCAAGTTTCCTGAGCTGAAATATCACATTCTGCAATAGTTTGAAGTAATAGACTTTGAAATGCTTTTAGTGCTGAATCACTAGAATTACTTTTAGTTAAAATCTTATTCAACATTTTCGAGAATGCTGCAGAACGTGATTCAGATTTGCTGGTATATTTGCATATATATTGTAAAGCTGCATTCATACTTAGAATTGGTTTCAGATCTACATTAGTACGCCATCCCTGAAGTTGCAATCAGTTATATGAATTAATTAACGGATCATTTCTAGTTGTTACTAATTCAAGTTTCCCATTATTATCATATATGCTTGTATTTTCTGTTGTCTTTTTTGGATAGCCGAATCTATATAATTGTTTGCCTGTACAATCTATACGAAGGCAATATAAAGAATTGCATCTTGTATGTCTTTGTACTTTATTAATCAAGTCTATATAATTTTGTAGGATATTATCAATCTCATTATAACGTCTTCGACAAGGATGGCAATCAGGAACAGGTGCGTTAATATCAGGATTAATTGTAGTAACTAAAGAATCTAAGTATTGTAATATATTGTTCATAGTCTCTTCATCATCTTTCATTCTCTCCCAATCAATAGATGGTGCATCTTTTATTTTTCCAATACCATGTACATGAGAACTGCCATGATGCTACCACTCATATCTGTACCAATAATCTTCAAGATTCCATTTTGGAATTAAAACCTTTTTCATGAATAATTTGAAACGCTTATCAAAGAACCAAGCAGTAATATGTGAATTATTAATCAGATCAAGATATCTGTATTTATTTGCTTCCTGTTTTATTAATTGATCTTGATTTTCACCATGCGGCATAAGCTTATGTAGTTCCGGCCAATGCATATCGGCTGCACTAAATATAAAAAAAACCATTCCTTGAGATCCCAATTGTTTAATCATATCCGCTAATTCAAACTGGCGCCTAATTCAAAACTGACGTGTACCACGCAAACTTTCACCAAAACATATGATCTTTTTTGCCATATGACCATTATTCTCAACCATTTTTTGCACATCTTCAACTGTATATTGCTCACTATTTAAACACTGTTTTACGTAAACTTTCCCTTCTTGAAGTGCTGTCCAGCGCATCTGTGAATTTAAAGCAAAGTAGTGCCAACGAAGATGACGTGCAAATCTCCCATCCTTATACTTTAGCAAATGCGAAAAGTATTCAGCAGGTTTAATATCTCTAGCATGTTCTGATCCAAGATCAGCTCTACCAGTTGGATATAATGTCAGAAAAGCACATGCAATATATCCAGGAGTTTGAAATTCATTGATAGGATTTCCACCAATATTTGGCCACATAAGAGGAGTATCATCCATTTGCATTCAATCTAGTGTTTCTATAATAGCATGTTCTTCACTAGGAGAAGGAAGAGGTATAGGAATGAAGGTACTATCTATCAAATCTTCAAGCTCATTATCACTATCATCATCTAGATTGTCTATTTTTTTTCTACATCTTCCAATTGAGCAATTCGATCATCAATTGAACTATTTTCAGGTAATGACTGCAAAACTTCTGTGTCAATTATAATATTATGATAATATCGATTGTTTTCTTTCAACCAGTAAAGTGCATGAGCAACTTTAGAACGTCGAACATTAAAGTTCCTAAATGTTGAACCATCCAAAGACTGACATCGTACTACAAGAATATCAAGTGACAATGGATTTCGGGGAAGGCGCATTGTAAACTCTGATATATCTTGAGGAAAATTAATAACATTACCACGGTATGCATATTGGCCACCATGAAGATAATATACCGAAATAATAGGAAGTATCTGTGCAATCAACATTTCCTCTATCTCTATTAAGCCTTCTAATTCTTCTGGAATCTCACCCGGATCCATATTATTATCAGCAGAAAATTTTTTGATTATATTCTTATCATAATAGCAACGGCAACATTCATGATCTATAAGTTCTATAGAAGGAAACCTTTCATTGCATATAGAATAAGAATTATGTTTTAGCTTATTCATTTCTGAGCAAAAATCAAATAAAAGCTTCCGATCAGATTCAGAAAGTTGCTGGTTGGTAAAATATTGATCATGGCTTTCATTTTGTCGATTGATACGTTTATTAGCATCTTCTAAAGCATGCATCATTCTTTTATTATACATTCGTTTACGTTCTTTACTCAGCCGCTTCTCATGCTGTTCTGGAGTTTCTAATGCTGTTTTTATATGTTTATTTTCTCGATCTTTCGCACGACGTATCTCACGATGTTTAATGGATTCATTTTCTCTGGATTTTTGTTTCCGAAGTGTTGATTGATATGACATTATTTTTTTATTTATTGTCTTGTTATTAAAGATACAATTTAGAGAATAACACTTCGTTTATTAACAACGCTTTTAAGAGCCAAAAGTTTATTAAACTATTGTATGATATCATTTATTAAACGATAAAATAACACTGCAAAGTAAAAACTTGTAATTCTAATTTTTGCCAGCTCATTTTTTGATCTGACTCCTGATAAACTAAAAAATTAAATAATTAAGGTAGTTTAAAATATACATAACGGAAATTTATGTGGCAAGTCCTATGTTACACTTCGGACATTTAAAAAAGTATAATTTTTAACGCGTTTTAACGCGGTTTTGAAATTAACAATTTTATTGGCTATTTACACGGCGTGACAGACAAACATTGCCTGGTTTCGCATAGAATTGGAAGTCCTCTGCTATGCTTCGG